TTAAAGTCAAATCTTTTTTTAAACAGTCGGGTGCTGCGGCGTAAAAATTATTCTGTTTTTCCGGAAAAATTGATGACATTTCACTCGGAAGTAGAGTCCCTCCTCGCGTCGTTCGTGCCGCATTCGACGACAAACCAAGGATTTTTGTACACTTGGCGGAAAAATCACTCCCGCCACGGAGATGGGAGGGAAGTGCCTCGCTGTTGAAAAGTGCAGCCGGCTTTTCGATTTCTGACGTGCAATTTGTCGGTAGTCGTACGCTCGAGTTGATTCGGGCTAACGAACCAAGTATTTTCGACGTTGTGCGCACCGGGACGAAATGTAATTTCGCCGCGACTTGCAATCAGTGTATGCCGAGAAAAGTGCATTAATCAGACATAAATTTTGCAGTCGCCGATCTGCGAACATACTCGAAGAAGATGCAGATGCAGAAGAAGAAGACGCTCATGGGTAAGATGAGTCGCAACCACGATATTACTCTCACGCCCCGCGACTTCAATTACGACAATCATCACTACCAGTACCTCAAGTATACGAAGCGCGGCAAGGTGAGTTTATTTACTCTTGACATCGCTACAAACGGCAGTGAAAATATCGCGTAGAATCCCCTTACCTCTATCATATTTTATGCGCTATGAATTTTTGAATAAAAATGTGTTTCTTCTTGCCGCGTAATATATTTTATTGCATATACGTAATAGCGTGCATGTGTAACATACGCAATACGTATAATATGATACAATTATTCTTATATACGTGATGTGTAATCGTAATCGTTATATTTCTTGATGCACTATTTGTTGGACACAAAATGCGCATACTTGTTCTCAGCTGTTTTCTTTTTCATTTTCTTCCACAATTGTGGAAAGCACAATATTAGCTATATTTTTCTAGCTGTATTTTCAGAACATTAAGAGGTAGAGCAACTTTACTTTTTAAGAGAATATAAGAAAATATTATACAGTAGGCAAATTATCTGTGGCGTAACTTGTGATTTATCTACAACATTCCAATTTTCGACTAAAGAATAGCGAGGGCATTTTCTTCGCCGTGGAATCCCATACAAATGGATTCTGACATACGCGCAATTCGGAAGAAACATGAGTTCGTACCTTATACCTTCGCAGCTCGTTATTTTTAACTCTTTACAGATTTATAAAATAATTCTTTCACAGGACAGCAAAGTTTTGTAAAGTTTTTTGCACAAGAGTAGATAGAAAAAGTTGTTTCATTTTAAGAGAAACTTGGAAAAATCTATTTAAATTGGAAAGTGTTGACGAAATAAATACAAATGTCTGAAATTTATGGCTGATCGCTAGATAAGTACACAATTATTTGCAAAGGAATTTCGGCGAAGGCGGAACAGGCTGAGTACAAAGCAGACTAAAGAGAATACAGACTGTATTTTTGTTCGCGTTAAGAACAAAGAGTCTACATATCACGTTTACGGTACTAAAGCGAGGCGAGAGTCCTCCCTTCCTGTAAATCACACGGCGCTCTCTTTCTGGGGGGTCATACCTCCACGCTTTCTCGCCTGTCGACGATTATCGATCCAACCTCAAGAAAGCGCTACTTTCGGCGCGCAAAATTACAAGGTCGCGGAGATAGACGTAATAACGGAGTAAATTTCGCCCTCGATGCGACACTGTTCTCGTCAATGGGAACAAATTTCGAAACTGGCACTCACGAAGTGAACTAACAGCTTGAATTTCATACGACATATCTCGAAAAAGTCAATTGCAATGGAGTTTAGTCTAAATCTTTTGTCTAAAAATGTGAAAAAAATATTTAAAATCTAAATCGTATCATACCACGCGTGAAATCAACGTGATTAGACAGGATCGTCTTTTGGATCGTCAGGAGTGTGGTGAAGGCTTTTTTCGAGCGATGTTCCTCTCTCTCTCTCTCTACTTTCTCATAAAATCTGCTACCATTACAAAAGAGATTTGAGATTACAGAATTTCTTTGTATATCGCAAACTTGCCTACAAAATAGAGCAAAACCTTGCGTTATCCAGACTTAATTTCGACTTTTCTTCACATCTATATTTCATTGTTGCATAAAAGAACGCAGAATTGTAGCAAGACGATGCGATAATCTTTTTATTCACGGTTTTTCGATCGATGCGCGTTTTATCAGTTTTACAACGATATTTATAGCGATGTATAAAGAGGGCGGCTTTTCGAATGCATCATTGGTCTTCCTACATCCAGGATCTTCTCAATATTTGTTACTCTTGCGTTTCTTTTTGCCGGGCTTATATCATACAATTACTTAAATTGTACACGATATAACCGCTTTTTGTATGGCTTTCTTGCTCGATGTAAAGCACTTATGCGTGTCACGTTGAGTATTATTCACCTCCTTTGTACGCCTCTCCCCATTCTCGCGATCTTATGATCTCCCGAGGGGATTTATGAACGCAGCCGCTTGCGCTAAAAAGCAACGTCCAATATTGTAGCTTCCATCGCCTACAGCTCGCGCTATATCCTTCATCCTGTTACCCGTGCATTACCGTTTCTATCCCGTTCGCCGATAAATACAAAAAGCATCTTAAATATGAGTTTAAGTGAGGTTTGTTTGCAGAATGCGTTGTACCATTATTATAAATGTTGAAAGACATTCGCGTATACGCTAACGTCTAGAAAATCACCGGATATTCTTTCAAATAACTGTTTAAAGAAGGCTTCGCGCGAAGGTGGCAGTATATTTTACAATTGCAATAGCATTTTAGTATCGCAATGGTATTGAGTTTTTTTTTTCCGATGGTTTGTGGAAACATTTTGCAATTTGTTTGCGTTATAGTATGGAAACCACGAAATGCATTTTTTATGTATTGTAATCTTTTACGTTCTAATATTCTCATTTACCGGAAAATGGGAAATGCTCTGAAAGCTTTATCGAAGTCGGACATTGTTTGAAAAAAAATCAGTTCAAAGCCATTGCGGATTACTCCATTTTTACGATTTCTTTTATATAAAATATTTATCTCAATTAATTGTGCATAACTGTAAAACTTGCTCTGGATTAATTTTCTTATTTTGAGAAAATTTCAAGGTATATTTCACGCTGCATTTAACCATTCCGTAAGTAATTTTGATAGTATTATTTTAGAAAAATATGGATGCGAGATTTATATATCCCGTGCATATCTAGCGACCAATAAGTTTGCGGTTTAATGCTGGCTAACAAATATAATTCTATAACGGCTTCTATAAAACAATTTCCATATTTTATAATACCATTTATCTGTGCACATTGTAAAACGTAAATGCATATTGTGCGTACGCGTTGATCGAAAAGTTTCCAGAAGCTGACAACCGATTGATTGGCACATTATTTTAATGACAGTTGGCGTTATAGCTGCGCGAAGCGAATTAGCGCGGAAGTTGGTCTAATTTATTTGGACTCGCATTCCCGCGCGCCCTACCCAATTATCGCTACATGCCGATGCAAATGCGCGGCGATATACGAATCGAACACGTATATATATCCGCCGGCTGATCTCGTGAATTAAATTTCGGGTAGCCGTTAACCTCGACCATTTACTCCATCACGGAAAACACAATTTTAAACTCTCGTTTGCAAATAAACATGGACCATGGCACCGAGTGCTTTTCCCCGCCCCGAATAAATTCTTCTCTCTTGCGAATTACAACGGTGGCTTTGAAAAGAGTTATTTATGCGTAACCTTTTGCAAATTGCGCCCTTTGTCGTTTCATTCGTCAAAGGAGCCTTTCGATTCTCGGAATTTTTCGACCACGCGTATACAAGTGTGCAACTGATTCGAGATGGAAATTTTCGTGGAATTTGCCCATCACGAATAATACAATTTCCAATCTAATTTCATTTGCGTTCAATAAATTTTTTTTTTCTCTGAAGATTTCCTGACATTAGTGGCACAAAATATTTTCTAAGCGTGCCCAACATCTTCTTTGAGAAAAGATGCGAGCCACGTACAATTAAATATACGGAAACTATATCTCGATGAAGAAATATTCGTCAGTGCAAATAGTAGTGAAAACATTCAACGTAGGATTGCGTCTAATGGAAGAAAAATAGGGAATACCGAAAGGGAGAGACCGTAAATCTGCCCCGCTTCAATAGCCGGCGGCTAATGGAAATCGCGAAGTAACTGTTCCGTTCTCTTATTAGATTTCTCTTAAATTAACTCTTAATTAACCGTGATTACGCTATGCATCACGCAATAATTAATTTACAGTTATATTTTCCACTTGTGTGTATTTACCGCACTATTTTATAGATATTTCTACATTGTTTGTGTACACTGTGAAAACGTTTCGACGTTGCCCCCGATAATGTATTTATGTTCGGCATCATCCGCATTTCTCGAAAGTTTCGCCGATGGTTAAAAGTTAAAGAAGCCGGCGTTAAATAAAATATTTTTTGTTTTAAAAGTAGGAGGCACTGCTAGTAGAAAAATTCTTCAGAATTCACTATTGTCTTGTCCGACAAAGGTCTCTTTCGAATTATCTAGCCAAGTGAGTCTAAATATTTGGACAGGACTTCTCCCGACGTGCTAGTAAAAATATTATTCCGCTTTAGACGCGTGCGCATGCTACTTTCGTGATCTTTCTTTAGTAACAGCTTCATCGTGGCGTTATCTTGATTTGTGGTATGTACCGATCGAAATTTTAACATCTACGATCTATCGCAACGACGTGCATCCACTATCATATTACCGTATTTATCAAATTCTATTGTAAATCTCTGTTTGATTTCTGCCGGCAAGAAACCTTGTCATATTTCTGGCGAAAATTTCTGGCGCCAACATTGTTGAATCTGTCTCAATTTTTGGCCGCTTGTTTCTCAAACACTTTGCACAATCTGTTCTCAATGACTATCCGAAAATATGATAACGAGTATATCATTATCTCTGTAACAATAGTGCCGGTTTAATAGAATAGCACTTCAATACTTTAATATTTTATCAGTTTTCGGAATAATCGCTCGAAACGAATACGAGGATTATATCCATTGTATAGATATTATATTATCAGCATTATATACTGAATAATGGAATATCAATGTAATATTTTATCATGCACTTCTATTAAGTTTGTTTCGCAAATTAATTTCACAAATCAAAATTTTAATCGCAATTTCGACCGATTTGATTCGTTACGCATTACTTCTGCATGGACGTATTTTTGCGAATATCTCTGTTGTTTGTTCAGTTTGATTATATTAGAAGATGCAATAAGGAAACAACGCATACCGCATCAATTCACCTGAGACCGAAGTTTTATGCAAACCAACTAATTGATCGTGAAGCCAAGCTCTGGTTAGGAATTTCGCCAGATTACGATATAAAGCTGGAGGTATTATCGAATGCGTTAATTATTGCGCATATAATCCGGATTAGTAGTTTCATGGACATTTACGATTGCATGCAAGATGGAAGGCCATTAGTAATCTACAGCTGCGACGGTCGCGAATGGCTATTCACTTAAGGGTTAATAGACTCGCCGTCGAATTAGAGCTGCATAAAACATTTTACGATAATAATCGCGGTCTGACTCGCGAT